AAGGGGAGAGAAGGGGAGAGAAGGGGAGAGAAGGGGAGAGAAGGGGAGAGAAGGGGAGAGAAGGGGAGAGAAGGGGAGAGAAGGGGAGAGAAGGGGAGAGAAGGGGAGAGAAGGGGAGAGAAGGGGAGAGAAGGGGAGAGAAGGGGAGAGAAGGGGAGAGAAGGGGAGAGAAGGGGAGAGAAGGGGAGAGAAGGGGAGAGAAGGGGAGAGAAGGGGAGAGAAGGGGAGAGTAGAGCAAGAGAATAGTAAAAAGAAGAAAAGAGAAGAGTAAAAATGAAACGGGATATAATCGATTGAGCTGTACGATTGAGAAGTACAAAGGATGAGATAGAATCTTAAATGTTCGGAAACAGTGGAATTCCCCGTAAAATGAAATACTATAAAGTAATTCTAATAAAATAATGACTTTCTTTTCTCGGCAGTTATGATTACGTTGAGGTCCGGGATAATGAACAAAGCTATGGAAAGTACTGCGGTCGTTCTCTGCGTGGCAGTAACATCATGCTTGAGGACACACCGTATGTAAATGTTATCTTCCACTCAGATAAAAGCTTGTCTAAGAGAGGGTTTCACATCAAGTACGACTATGCAAACAAACACGGTATGTATATACACTAAGTCCCCGGGGAGGGAGGTGGAGGGGGATCTCCCTCCTAAACATGAGTGGGTGTGTACCGCACGACCCTCAAAACCCTTACCCTATCCCAGACCAGTTTTTGTGATTTTACATATCCTACCCCAGACTAAAGGTACAAATTAAGGTACATTAGTTTTTTTCAGTTAGCGCTGAAAGCGTGGCCTAGCAAATACGATCACAGGCAAAACTCCACCCTACCCCAGACAATGAGACTATACCCTATCCCCCCAAGTCAATGACACTAGCAGCTTAGAATTAAAGTCTGGGTATTTATCTTTCAGCCTGGCTCACTCGCTTACGACAAAGTCATGAGTAAAAAGACAAACAATAAATCTGGGGATTAGAAGTGAAATTTAATATGGCTTTCTTTATTTGTTGGCTTGGCTTCGGTTGCCTGTGTTCTTATGCTTGTTCTTATGCTTGTTGCTGTGTTGATGTCTTTTGTCGCAGGCTTGACTTCCCTTTGTTTTAGGTTTCGACTTAAACACAAGGGAGGCTTTTAGTTAGCCTTAGTTACAATGTAATAGAGAAGTCTTATCTAGTATCGTCATATATCTTATCTTATCTTATATATCTTGTCTAGGTTCTCCTAATGAAAAAAAAGGTCGAGAAATCATAGCAAAGAGACTACCATCGAAAGCCCTGACAACTCCTGAAACAACAACTCCTGAAACAACAACTCCTGAACAGACAACTCCTGAACCAACAACTCCTGAACAGACAACTCCTAAACCAACAACTCCTAAACAGACAACTCCTGAACCAACAACTCCTGAACAGACAACTCCTGAACAGACAACTCCTGAACAGACAACTCCTGAACNACTGTTGGAGAAGAGGGCCCATCTGAAGTCGTTGAAGGCCCTACCACTGTTGGAGAAGAGGGCCCATCTGAAGTCGTTGAAGGCCCTACTACTGTTGGAGAAGAGGGCCCATCTGAAGTCGTTGAAGGCCCTACCACTGTTGGAGAAGAGGGCCCATCTGAAGTCGTTGAAGGCCCTACTACTGTTGGAGAAGAGGGCCCATCTGAAGTCGTTGAAGGCCCTACCACTGTTGGAGTAGAGGGCCCAACTGATGGAGGAGAAGTTCCAACTAGTGATGGAGATCGCCGGACTGATGGACTTAAAGGCCACGGTAGTGGAAGGTATAGGTCTAAATACTGACATGTTTGAAAGACTAGCTATATTGCTGATAAATTTAATGCATAATTGGTGTGTGTGTGTATTTCCCCAAGGAAAACGTTTACTTTCCGACAGTTACCAAGGACTATTACTTTCATATTGAGATTGTTTCTTGTGTCAACAGTAGTGCCCATCTTCAGGAAATGATGTTCAAACTTCAGTTATTAATGCTCAACGAAAAGGTAATGATATTCATGAATGAATTCGTGAATATCTACATGTATGTTTAGAAACTGCATTGCATTGAGTTGATTATTCTTAAAATCCGTGATCATGTGTGCTTGCAGTTGTACCTATCTTCGAGTTTGGCTTAGAAGGCGTTACTTTTTTAAGATTTATTGGATAAAATATAGTTTTGCAATATATTTAACTAATGAAGAGCTTGAAAACTAGAAAATACAAAAGACACAGCCGTTTATCCATTTTTTGGTAAAATATGTAGTGCTAAGTGTTGGCAACAGGCTGACCAAACCGACCCCAGACTCTGGCCGTTGAATTTACTTGTAGGTCTGCCAGAGATAAACTTCATTAAAATATATTTTGTATCATGTTTGTAATTTTTATATTTGTAGATACACGGACTCATGCTTAGGATCGAGAATTTGAAGCACATTTTGAAGCAGTGCGCAAAGCAACATGAGCATCCGAAGGGCGAATATGGATCCAGTTACATAAAAAGTATGTGATTGTACTCGTTGTGAATATTACATTTAATATATAATAATAATAATGATAATAATAAAAATGATGATGAAAATTAAAACTTATGGTACGAAGAAAGTAATATAATACTCATAAATTCATATTTCAGTCCACATGAAAGAAGTGGGAGCAAAGAGAAAAGAAAAGAATGAAATATTGCGAAAAAAATAGAAAACATATTATTAAAAATATCTTCACATCTATGCAGATATTCTGGAATCCACAACCTTTTCTTTACGGATGAAACATTTCGTCCACGGCTCACTACGTGTACGGAAAAATCCGAAAACAAAAGTCTGCGGATCCGCAAAATAACCGAATACGTAAAGATGGGACCTGAGTATATCTATTACTTCATTTGTTTAGGGGAATTTGGAGATGATTTTGATGATTTTGACCTTCTGTATGATATGAATCGTCGTCGGCGTCGAAGAAGAGATGTAACTGACTACGCAGAAGAGCTCAAAGAAAAAATCAACCGACTTGAGAGCCAGAAGAAAATGCTCCAAATTAAACAAAAACTTATAAAATCGTGAAGGTAATTTGGTGAATTTTCAAAGACGGATCCAATATTTTTTTAAAAGTGATGGTCGAGTCTATGTGTAAATTAATTGCTCTTGTATCGTTTTCTATATCTTATGGAACGCGAGGCTATTCCCGGCCGGCTGTACTGCCTAAATCAGTTTACGATGTAGTCTAGAACTAATCATAAGTTTTAACTTATTTTTCCATTTATCTTACAGATCATGATATTATCGTATTAATTCAGTTGCCACCAGTTTTGACGTGCACAATTATATATTCAACGTGGTCTTCAGTGGAAGTTCTATTCTTAAAATATCTGGTTTAATCAAAGGGCTATTACTAACCAGCATTCAATGCGTTCGTAGTGTTTTTTTTTTTTTTTTTTTTTCATATACGGAAAATGAAGTGACTTCAAAAATCCGTGATCTGATTCAATCAGTTACTTCTGGTAATCTTATAATGCCTCTATCTGCTCTATTCATAAAGAATAAAGGGAAAAAGTTTTTCAGCGGTAAAATTGTGGTGTATTTCTTTTTCAAACACAAGCAAAGCTAATAAGTGATGCCGGTTGGCGATGGTCCTTCAGAATAGTTTTACAAGGGCATTAGAAATGTAGATGAAAAAGTTGTACTGAACCATACAAGATTAAATAAACTTTGTTGAAAATACTGTTGACTTTCTTTATTGTTATCAGTTGCAGTAAAATCGCCGCCATTTCGCATAAAAAAATCGCCGCAAATTAATTAAAATTCTAAATGTACTTACCCTCCCCTCCCATTGTACATCAGTCGTTTTCAAACATTAAAATGCCCGCTGACCGAAATGTCTGACAATTATAAACAAAATGGCGGACTTATCGAGAAAATGAGATGTCCCTCAAACTTTGCCGTTTACCGCTTAGATTGAAAGAAATCTTAATGATTGACTTCAAAGTGGCATAATAAAAAGGTATTCTCCCAATTTAGGCTGCTTTTCTCGGTAAACTAGGCATTTTTCGAGAAGTACATCAAGAAAATTGAGATGTCAGGAGACCAAGGAAAGAAAGATGATACTAAMACTCCGACAAGTTTACCACTCAGTGCACGAGGTATGACACCTAATATACATGCTTTTATTGTAGGTTATTAGCTTCTGTGGCAGCTTTTTCAGTTTGAACCATAGTTCCCTTGTAGTGTCAAATACTTAGTCTTCTATTTTGGGGGACAGGAATCCCGACACGAAAACGTGTGCAAAGAGGACTATTGAAAAGCTCATATTTTTTAAATTCGTTGTATTAAAGTTTTCGCTTTTTCTCAAGCATATATTTAAACTATTCAAGCATTGGACTTTATTTTGATGAAACACAAATGTAGTTATTCAAGAATAAAAGCTTGTAGCAATAGCTTTTTAATTGTACCATTCTTGTATAAAACCAAGCAACCTACAGCCGTATGAATTACTAAAAAGTTGTTGCTACATTTACATGTACACTGTTGGCAAAACATGATTTTGTTTTAACCGCCAGTACTTTATTCATAGCAATACAGAATACTAGCCATGTAAACACTTCTTGAATCAACACTTACAGTTCCAATTCATATTCAGCTTTGTTATCCAGACAGCGCAATACTGGAAGTCTATCTGGGTAAGTTGATATCATAAATCATGAAATTTAGGACATGTTTTTAGGGTTATTGATGCTGAAAATATGTATTTGTTTAGGCCAGGGAGACTGCCATCACTTAGACCTGCAAGGGACCTTAGTCTTGGTGCTACTCCAAAGCTCAACTTGAGTGCAAAAGTAAGCTACATGTACACTAGGGCAAGCCAGTTAGCACTGTCACGCCTTCTATAGTGCATAATTACATAAAAATTTGACTTTAGAAAACCCTGGGAGCTACAGTGACAACTAATAAAAATAGATCATTCTTATACATAAATGATCTATATTAATCTATTTTTAGAGGACGTTTACACCTACCATACCAACCCGGAGAGTTAAGGAGGAGTAAGTGTTATTTGCTTGTACAACTGTATAGACTTTGAATAAATTGCCAATTAAAGAATAAACAAACAGTGAAAATTATAATTGATTTTATGTGATGTTTACAGACCAAAAGAGCAAGAATCTAGTGATTCTAAGAGATCTCCTGTAAGTAATAATAATAATTAATTAATTGGATTTTATTAATGTTTGTGAGAAGGCACATGGAATAATGATCATAACTAAAAAATGCATGCTATCAAAGGCATTGGTAATTTCTAATGAATGTTTGTCTTGTCTTTATTATATCAGTTTAAGGGGAAAAGAGGCCATCAGCATGGGGGTGAAGGGYGTGGCAGAGGAAGAGGCAGAGGTGGTAGAGGAAGACATGAAGTTGTTGCATCACAGTCTGTATTCTCAATGGGTCCAGCTGAGAAGGGCAAAACAGGTATTGCTTATTAGACTATTTATAGCTGGTTTCATTTGACATTGTGGCCATGTTAGTGTTTTATTTTGTTTTATTTTGAAGGGCATTCATCTCCCTCTGTTAGTTTTACTGGTGGTGATAAACGAGAAGGCAAATCATCAAAAGCTGCCATAGTTAAGAAAGAAAAGTAAGAAATAGAATGATTCAACACAGAACTCAGATTATACCATACAAATTAACTGGGTTTCCCTTGATCTGGATGCAAAGTCTTTGCAAATTTATGGAAAAAAGGATGGGGGCTTGGGATATTTCAAATACTGCAATCTGCAACAAAATTTGTCAAAATAGTGATACTATACCAAACAGCCATTTTCATGCCATTGTTTGCAATGCAAATGGAAATTGTTTGAGACGAGGAAGACAAAAGTCTGACAAACTGTTTTGGCTGCACAGACTACATGTAAATAAAATTTTATACTTAATATTTTTCTTACTCTCTTAGGAGTTTGGATTACAATGATGATGAATCAAGGCGTATATTGAAAATGTTAGAGACAGAGGTGAGTGGTACAAGCCCTTTTGTATTCTGATGGTGCTTTTGTGTGGGGGAGGGGAGAGTTTACATTGTGATTATGTAAAATAAAATTGAATTACTGTAACCGTTTACTATAGAGCGGATTGTGTATGAGTGGGAAACGGACGGTACTGTACGGTGACCATAATCGTACTGTAACCAAATTCTAGTGCCCCATTGGTTCACCAAAATTGCAGGCCAGGTCCGGTAACCGTGCGGTAACGGTGTCCCACTCATATGAAATCTGCTCTAAATCCGCTGCTTTAACAGGATGATGATACAGAGACTGAGTGTACAGAACATGGTATGGCACCTGTCTCAATACCATTATCAAACTATATTCTCAAAACCAAAGAGTTAGAAGACAAAAAAACTATTTCTATCAAAGGTAATCCCAATGTTTCCATAGTTGCATGCATTTCAAACTTAAAGGATTTTGATATAATGATATTATAACATCAACACAGAGGAACCAATGGATGTTGATATGGATGATGATGGAGAAGTAAAGAAGCCATTCAAACAGAAACCTATTATCAAAACAGACATAAAGACAGAACCAGTAAAGCCTACTTGCCAGTCATTGTTCGCAAGTACTTCTGAGGTATGTACAAAATAATTGCAGATATGCAGACAGAAACAATATCCAGCTGACTTAAGTAGGGATTTCATTAAAAGCCATCAACTGTCTATTTTACCCTTTGGGTCWGTTATTTTTGCCAAACGATGGTTATAACACTTTTTGTAGCAGAATTTGATTATACTGGTCACGTCAAGTTGATTGTTCTAGGAATAACTTCTAATTGACAATTAAAACTTGCCCTGTGATTCACATATTATGGTTACTTTTGCATCTGGACCCAAATATAATGAGACTCCTTTAATTTTGAACTTCAAGGGATCTTTACGCTGTGAAAGCCTGCATGATCTCAAATCCTTATCTTCAATTTTAACGAGGTCTTTTAGCTGATTGTTTAATGAAGTAATCCTTTTTTTTTATTTTGACAACTTACCAATCTAAATACCATGATCAGAGTACATATATCACGACTTGAATAAAATTTTGATGCCTGAAAAAAGAAAATGCAAAAAATAAGACAATGTGGCATTTGTAATGGTCTGATATTATGGATAATATTATTTCTTTTTTAATCTCAGGCAAGCGATGAGAAGTTCATCTTCATTCAATTGCCAGACAAGTTGCCCATTCAACCCATCAATACTGCATCCCAGAAAGGTGTTAACAATGGTACAGCAGCCTCTCAAAATACTGAAAAGGTAATACTTTTTCTTCCATTTCTTCTTTTTGTCCATCTCTCGTTGTCACATTCATTTTATGAGTGTATTATAAAGCTATGTTTAAATTGTTAATGTAGACCAGTGCAGCAAAAACTCCTGAGTCAACCTTAAAAGATGTATCAGAAGGATACATTGGGAAATTACAAGTACTCAAATCAGGGAAAACACGGCTGCTGCTTGGTGACATTAGCCTGGATGTCTCCATGGGAACATCATGTTCATTCCTCCAGGTAAGTTGTTAATTATTCATTATCTCTGAAAGCAACAGTTTTGAGCTGCAGTATATGACAGGCTACRGCATGGTATAGACCCCTTGCATGTGAAGTCAAAGCCACTTCATCTGTTGACCTCCATTGTTGAAGTTGCATTCCCACAAACTGCAAAGGGTCTATATAGGACTAGCCTGAGTATCAGGCTCTCTCGAAGGGGTTTGGGGCGGAGCGAGAAAGGAGAGAGAGCCTGACACAATCTTCTATCGAGAGCCGTGTTCTGCGGCCGTTTCATGGCCGAAACGCTGATTGGTCTAGAGGACAAAGGAAGTGACAGGAATTAAAATATATATAATTATTATGTTACCGAACGACGCTATGACTCTTGATATAAGTGAATAACAGTTTGGGAAAGCTTTAATAGTAACCTGGTTGCAGAGGCTTGTCTTTTATTCTTTTTTTTACTACGTTATCAAGCCGTTGAATCGTTTTGTTTTTACGCGTACAAAAACAAACCGATTAACGGAAACGTCTCATATAACACTAACATTACACTGACCTATAGCGGAGTAAAACAATTCAAGATTATAGTGATCAATCCTCTAGAGTTTATTAGACGTCCACAAGTTGAGAATCTGGTAAAAATCGGCATAAAAGCTGCGACTTTTCAAATAAATTTTGACATATAACCGWCACATCGAGAAATCAAGCAAACCGGAACAGCTTTTAATTGGCTTAAATTTATTGTCACGCGTCACGCATTGCAAGGAGGCGGAACGGCTCTCGATAGAAGATTGTGTCAGGCTCTCTCTCCTTTYTCGCTCCGCCCYAAACCCCTTCGAGAGAGCCTGATACTCAGGCTAATATAGGACCAGTGATCAATTCTTGGGTTGCAACCACAAGATCAAAAATCCCTCAAGGAGAAGGAGACTATTGGCTGCAACTTTGCATCAAACACCGTTTTGGATTCACAACAAACAAACGTTTGCCTTTTGTGTGCTTGTAGGAGCTTGTCACAGTCCACACAGAAGAAGACAGATCAGATATGACTGTTTTAGGACCTGTTAAACATCGTGTTATTTGTACACCTGACTTTGAAAAACTCCTTACAACATGAAATATTTATACAACAGAAAATTTTGAAGTGTAGCCTGAGTGTAGGCATTTGTAAATGGCACAAATGGTAGATAATAGTTTCCCATTGGCTATGCATAAAATATATACAATAGGTATGCAAACAGATTTGCCGGTGTCTTGTTTTGTGACTAAAGAACAAATACACAGGAAGCTCAGGCCATGCAGGGAAGGCACAGGAAGCCCAAACATGAACAAACCACAAAGCATACAGTACAAGGATAACTTTATCAACCTTTTGCCAACCAACCCCAGAATAATGTGCTACTGTAGAATTCTGAGGTGAAAATGCAATATAAAAAAAGACCTAAACAAGTTTATTGTGGATGAGTCTGATGAGGTTCAGTTGTTTTCAGATCAGAATATCCGGTCATCTTTTAGTGCCGCTTTATGCTATTTTCAGTTGCGGATTAACTGGTTAATTTAAGTGATTTTTTTTGGCGGATTTGAACCGATTTTTCTTGTCCGGTTCCCTAATTACAGATATCCCCGCCAAAATGATGTCTTAGTGAAATACAGGTTCTATCTTGGAAATCGAGTGCGGAAACGCTGAGTTCACTAAATTAACGGTATTTTTGTGATCAGTAGATATCAACGAATCTGCTGTCCTAGAGTATAAGGGTCACTGAGGAAACCACACACTTCGATCTTGAGCGTTGGCGGAGAACGTTACGGCTGGGGGGAGGGGTGGGGAATTGGTGCCTAACTCTGAAGTGGACAGATTTATAGTTGCGAAAAATGAGCTTTCTTTAAAAGTTTTTTAAGAATGAGTCACATGTAGTAGTTTGTGCTTTTATGTTGTCTTTGAACCCAATAAGTATTGTAGCTATCCGCCCTTTATTTAAAAAACATGTTGTGTTTTTGTGCAGAGTTGACCTCGTGGCTACCTAATTCATTAGTACGTGACGTATTGAATATACAAACATTGGCACAGAACCTGAATTCTTGAGGACAAAATTAGCGTATGAAATAACTTGACTGTGCAAGATGGAAAATGAAATATTTGTAATACTCTGTGCCGTCTATTTTACGAGAAGTATGCATTTGCAAGTCTGTGTAATAAAAAAGCTTCAGAATTTGCGCGTCAACTTGTGCGCAGCTTAAGGGCTCATTTGCGGAGACTGCCAGGGGTAATAATCTGTCGTTCGCTCACTGAAAGAGCGACAGAATCTTTCACTCTGGAGCACGAGGCTGACCACAAAAATCTAAACTGCAAAGCAGACAGTACGTACGTGRATAGCTTTATCAACCTTTTGTCTAACCAACCCCAGAATAATGTTCTACTGTTTAGAATTTTGATGTGAAAATGCAATATAAACAGACCTAAAACAAGTTTATTGTGGATAAGTTTGAATCTAGACTTTCATTTTGGAACTGTTCTAAAGCGAGGTCAATTTTTGGTGTTATATTTTTCTAAAACCTGTGTTATTTCGCCGTTATAATCCATTTTTAGTGTGCCCCGTTGGGTATACCGCTGCGTTTCTAAAATAAGATTTCATCGAGTGAGAGAAACTCAGAACGGAACGGATTAGCTTCAAATAACTGAGTTAAGGGGGTAGTTTTAGGAAGCAAGATTAGACATGACAGAAAAGAAGTCGAAGGCTGAAAAAAGATTGGAAACAAGGGAAGCAGAACTCAATAAATTGTTAAATATAAAATGAAAAGACGGAAAATGAAGAAAAATGTCGGGAAAAAGGGATGAAAGAAACGAAGTAGTGATGCTCCGATCAGACGGACGATGGTTATTCATTGACACTGGAAATCCACTAATACATCGAGAATGATCAATTCAAATACCCAGTAACTTTACACATTACTTCCAAAACACGCGACTGTGAATGCAAAAAGTCACGACAATAGATGATATTTCCATTTCCGCCGAACTAGATATATACAGATCAAGGAGAAGATGGTCAAAATAATTTAAAATGCTTCTATAGTCCTCAATTATCATCGGAAATCTGTCCGGATCTAAGTGTTTTTGTTTTTACGCATAAGAAGGTGTACGTGCTCGATATGCATAATTGTAGTGTTGTTGTATATTTTGTTGACCTTCTTACGGAGGGTAAAACGTGACATGAACGGCCGTTTGCTTGTTATCATCCATACAATGACCCAGTAGACAGAAAAGAAACAGAGCTGGCGACGGGAGAAAATAGAAAAAGAATGCATCAAATTCCTGCGCCTGTGTGGATTTTTTGTGAGAGACGTTTTGTAGATATTTGACCAACGCTAGTTCATGGTCATTAATCATTTTGGAAAACCTGAATATTTTAGTTGCCGTAGCTCTAGATGAATGACCTTTTGGTATTGCCAAACAATGCAACTGTCAAACAAGTCATTTTATAGTGTTTCAAGGTTCAGTATCCTCAGTGCAAGCTTCGTTAGTATATATTCAACTTTGGCCTGAACGGATCTCATGAAGATCTTTAGAAACATTTCAAAGCCAGTGCAATGATGGCTTAGCTGGTAGATCAGAAAGAGCCAACAATGAACTCAGGTCAGGAAGACGAATTAAAAAAGATATGGAACACTGATCTATATACTACATGGTCGCGTAAGTAAATTATTGTATGCTCGCTATCATGATATGAGATATTGTTGTACACCTGCGTTTAAAGCGCAAGCAAATACTATGCAAAATCAAATCAACCTGTTCAAAATACTGCACTTGTTTCGTAATTTGAGGTGGCGCGCACTAAGCAAGTAGCTCGGAGTATATTTCAAGAGTGACACATTCCACCTCTGATATAGATCCAAAAATTTTCCAGGGGCTGCGCATGCGTTGTATGATACAGATATGGTTTTAGAAATTATATTGACTTGGAACATTGACAAAAGTTGCACAGATAACAGAGATTTAGAAATGGCGATCTTATTAAGTACATGCGAAGTATTCTAACGAGCACGCTTGCAAAAAGCGTGATTGTTTTTTTGCACTGGGGAATTCCCAGGATTCGTAGCGGTCAGCTTTAATAGAGCAGCATGCATTGCAGGTAAAAATTTGATTTTTATGCAGGTAAAAGAATCATCATTTCCACTCGTTTTGTTCTGTTAAAAAGAAATGCATTCCAAGCAAACCACAACTATTTACAACATATTATATCTATCCGGCGACAACTATATTGTTGTTTTGCTCTGGTTTTCGGATTTTCTTTACAGTTTGCATTCTCATTACACGTACCCTGCTATGCAGGGGGTACGTGTAGTAAAATGCTGACACTTTCTTGGGTTTTTTTTTTCACAATGTCGAAAGTTTGGCTTCGGTACATCTTCGTAGCCAATTACATTACATTACATTACATTATATCCGGTAGCCAATCACATTACGTTGTGTATTCCGAACGCTATAGC